CATAGGGATACTGCTGAATCTGAGACAGCTGGGGAGATTAGAAAACTAAGAATAAAAATGTAGCCATGTGCCAAGCCCTATGACATGAGGGTGGAGTCTTATGAGCAAGGCTCTTTTGAATTCTGTGAGTTCTATCTAGAAAACACTAGTGTTCTGGATTCATTTCAGAACATTAACTGGATTTATTTTGCACAAACAGGATCAAAATATTTTGAATGAACAATGCATTAAAAATATTTTGAATGAACAATGCATTAAAAAACACACACACCTGTTTCCAGGGTGGGACACTAGGACTAAAAGGAAGACCAAATGAGAAATGGACTGAGTTAATAAAGGAATCAGTTTGCATCACCTGAGCAGGGCTATTAATGACAGGAAGTTTGGGGTTATCATAGGCTGGAAGTGATTGGATGGCCCATAACAACACCCGTGTCAGTCCCAATGTTCTTTTGGTCTACAGTTTCCATTGTTTTTTTCTTAGTGGTGAATGTTTATGGGAACCACTGTCCAGCAGCATCTGAAGGGCCGCACTGGCCCAGCCCTGCAGCATAATAGCAGCATACGTAGTTCAGTCTGTTCAAACTGAAGTCAATACTATAATTCCCAGTTCCCACAAGCTACTCATTCCTCTTTCCTCAAGTGGTTCCCCCCCATCATTGACCAAGCTTTCTTGTTCCCAACATTCCTTTCTTGTTTCCTCTATACTTATTTCCATTTGACTCCATTCCACCTGGCTATTCTCTGTATATACAATAGAGTGGAGTGGGGTCCTAATGCGACAGGGGCATACAAAAAATTAATATGGCCAATGAGAGGAGCATAACACAGGACAGAACAGTATGAGAAGATTATTTGTTCCATCCCATATGGCCATAGGAATGCTAAGGTTCCTGTCTTTGTGTCAACTGGGGACTTACTCTGTCTTTAGCAGATGCATTACAGGCAGCAGAAACTGAGCAGGTGCTCCTGTCCTCAAGGGTCTATTTCCAAACTGCAGAAAAGCAAGATGGTGGCACAGTGGGGAGAATCAAATTTGTAGGGTGTGATAGTGAACACATGGTTAGAAATAGTGCTTTCTTAAAATAATGAATTCATGGAAAATTACCAGAAACTGTACTGTAGCCCTAATGTGGATCAGGGCATCCTCTTCCCACAGGGATGCAAGTTGCAACATTAGATTACATTTGTGAAATTAGCCAAGTATTCTTCTGCAAGTTTGGGTCTATCATTAGTTTAATGTTTTAGAGCACTAATAGAAAGTAAATAAATGGTTACATGCAATACAAATTGACTAGTATAGATCTAACCCTTTTTTCAAAACCTGGTATCTGGTTATGATGTGATACAAAGTTTGAGCAGGTTTCCTTGAGTATTATATTAAAGGCACAGAGCCTCTGCAGCTGGATTAAAACAGGAGTTGGGAACTGCTGCCTGCCAGATGTTTTGGATGATGCCTCCCATCAGCCCCAGCCAGCCTGGCCAATGGTCAGGGATTCTGGGAGTTGGGGTTCAAAATAACCTGGAGGGCATACAGGTTGCTTACCCCTGGATTAAAGGATCAGGTTAAGACAACTGCATTGGTTTATTAAATTATATGTCACAAAGCAAGTACTGTAATTGAAAGCAGGATGTTCAACAGATCTTACAGAACTGAAACAACATAGCGACTTGTGTATATTCCTCTAATTAACAACAGCTAGATCTTCTAACTGGACTGAATGTTCTTGAAGACTGTTATTTTGTTTTCTTTAAAACAGAAGCAAAACTGGTGAGCACTTCAAGATTAAGGCAGGAAAAATTAAGCATTTTAGATCACAAATAATAAAGGCCTGGATTGTCATATGAGTATAAACCCCTGCATCTGTTTTGGAGCTTTGTGAATAAAGGTAGAAACTCCCATAGATGAGGGTCTCAATCACTTCTACTCAATGTTAAAATCCCACTGAACGTAAAGGGAATAGGATAAGTTGTAGCATTGTCTCTTCCCCCTCAACTGGTAAATGAAGGGATGGCGCATACATGGGGCCAAAGGACTTGGGTTGATGTGGAACATGTGCCCCGATCTAACCAGAGAAGGAGATTAAGTGGTCAGATGAATGGTCCAGTTCAATATTGCCTATTCTGGTTTGTGTCAGCTTTCCGGGGTCTCCAGCAGATGTTTTTCTACCTGAACATTTAATTGGAGAGGCCAGGGATTAAACTTTGTGGCCAGTATCCCATTTAACTTCCATTGAGTTGACCTGCATTACAGTAATGTGGGATCTCACCACTCGTGCATGTGATATTGTTTGAGCCCAAATTACTGCACTGGCAGGACTTTTCACTTAGTAGATGCAGCAACAGGGTACCAGCCTGTGTATGCCAAACATTAAGTCTACCACCAAACCTTGGCTCAGGGCGACAGGAAGTGTAGGATAAAAGTAGTATGGCTAGATGACAGGGCTAAGTTTCTCCCTGTTCTTTTATTTCTTCTTTCTGTGCAGTAAACTGGCATGGGAGGATGGAGGTAGTGGTGTGTCTGGTGACTTGACAGTAGGAGAAGCAGCCAGTGTCGGTTGTTAGTGTGCCTCATGATGTTGTGTGGATAAGATGCCCAACTATCCCATTCACTCTGTCAATATTTGGATTCTTCACTTCAATATATTATTTTGGGGTTAATTGAATAATTTTATTCTCTTGTGTCCTCCAAGGCTTTCACGGACGGGATCCGATGGTTCTTGTGGGTTTTTTGGGTTGTTTGGCCGTGTACTGGAGAATTTTATACTCTTTCTAGTATGGGAAAAAGGAAGCATATTCTTCCAGCAATAAAACTGCTAGTGAGATAAATGTTAATTTGAAGGCAGGGAAGAGTGCAGTATACATCTGTTGCCTAGTGATCCAGACAAACAATTTCCTGTCTTCTTTTCTTCTATTGATAGGAGTGTGTGGGATGCACAATTAAGCTGCCACCAACCTGCCCGCTAGCTGGTACAGACAGTAAACTTAGCATTTGCTTAGCATAATTCAGAAGCATAAATGCTCATGTCTTCACTGTAAATGCAAGGGGGTCACAAAGTTTTCAGGGGGGGTCTCCAGGCTTAAACTTTCTTTCTTTAAGATTGGGGAGGACAGGCAGGCTAGAGAAAGTTTATCCTTGCCTTCCCCCTTTTCCCAAATTCTGGGGGTCACTGGGCAACTGCAAAAAGAAAAAGTCTTTTGTGGTAGAAATGTCTGAGACGTTTCACTGTGTCCACCCTGACCTAGGCCTTAGATTCGATGGATGCTGCCGTGCAGGCCTGCTTTCACAGATGTGTGCCACTAACTTGGTTTGGGCTTCTTCCACTCAGCCTGTTCTTCTATTGACAATAATAAGGATCACTGACAGTCAGTGGAGAGGGAAAGTGCTAATTAAAGTACTTCATTTGTGCAGAAATCACTCCGTCTGGTCCTTCTGGCAAACTGCTGCAGAAAGAATTGTACTGTATCTTTTTAAAGGAACTTAAATAAATTTTCTTACCTTTAAATGAAACTGCCACTAGAGGGTGATACAAGCATAGCTTGTTGAAAGGTTTCTGAAAATATAGATATTAATCCACAAAAGCTTACACTGAAACAAATTTGTTGGTTCCTAAAGTGCCACAATATTTTGTCCTCATTTCCTCCCCTTTAATTTTGCCAACATGTTGAGACAAATTAACACAGCTACCTCTTTGAAAATGGATGTTGTTCCAGTTGTCTTCTAAGCCTACTTGTGTTAAGTGCACTACAGGGTGGGTTGGTGGAGGGACATTGTAGTACATTAACAGTTTTATTGTAGTATTGAGTTTTTGTGGATTCAAATCTGTTGCTCTGAAAAAAATCTGATGTGCAACATAATAACCTAGGGTGAAGACATATGTCCTTTGTTGTTGAAAAATATATTTGTCCCAAGAAAAAGTAGTAAAACCCTAAACATGGCTCATGCTTGAGGAAAAAATAGTCCATGTGCAGAGGCAGGTTTGTAGCATGCCTGGATGTCCCATCCAGAATGTGTGCTGCTGCTGTGAGCAGGGTAAATCACGCTGAATCTGCTCCTATCTTGGGCTGCATATATTGTTGTTCAGCCTCGTACAAAATTCCGTATGCACAACAGAGGGTTATCAGAGTAGACCAGGGCAATGGCATCTGGGACTAGCAAAAGTAACCAGCTCAGCGCCATATAAAAATGACATTTGCTAAGAGATAAACCTGCTGTGTCATTTTCAGTGTTATTTGTGTGAAGATTTTAATACACCATAGGATTCTCTGGAGTTCTGGTTGAAACAGATGAATGTATAGCTCGCCTTCTGTGGACCCCATGGTTTTGGGGTTAAAGATGTCACTGTGATGGTGAAAGATATGTTGGGCTAACAGAAATTAATGTCAAGAGTTAGCAGAAGGGAATTGCAGAAGTTTTCCATTGTGCATCTGCCACATGTTTATGCTGTCTCTTGCATTGCTAACTGCACAATGGTTAACTTCAAAACAAGTATGCTAGCAGAGGTTTGTTTTTTTTTTTTTGATACGGTGACACCATGTTGGCTAGTTCAGGAAAGCTTTTGCCAGAAATGTATTAGTATTTAAGGTGATGGAAGATTAAAAGAAAATGAAAAAGTTAGACCCACTATGCCATCTTCATGTATGGGTAGAGCACCAAGTGATTAAGCTTAGAAATTGCAGCATTTTAGTATGGACAAATAATTAAAATATACAGCTTTGTCAGCTTTATGTTACTGTTGTTAAGGCTTGGCAGAATGAACTTTTACAAACCATAATAGATTTCTTTCCAGTTTTTAATGCTTTCTTGTAAAATTGAAAATATAAAACCAGCTCAGCAAAGTGAACACTTTTTATGTACATGAGGTCTGTGATTTTTTAAAAAGAAGTCATTTCATAGTCAAGCAAAAATCCAATGAATTAACTATGATTAAAGGGACCAGCATTTTAAAATTGAAAACATACTTTAAAAAAATATCTTTACAAGCATATTATATAATTTAAATTTATATTTTACTAAAAGGAACTTACACATCAAACAGTTTTAGATGTTTCTCTTTCTCCCTTAGAATCATTTTCAAAGTGCCACAGCAAAGGAATAGATACCAATAATTACACAGTATATTCCTTTATTTTTTAAAAAAGAGATTGGTAAATGTGAGAGGCTGAGTTAAATGAGCACATAAAGGGTTGTAGATTAAACACAGTAAAGGTAGTTGAACAATAATCCTGTAAATACAAAAGGTATTTTAAGCATGGTAAAGAAAACAAAAAATTAAGCTGCACTTAGGTATCTGTGTAGATAGGAGGAATATGATTCAGACAGTGGTCAAAAGTGCTGTTTTGAAAAAATGCATTATTCTCTTCTGGTCCATTGACAACTACTTCTTCTGATATACATGGTGCTTCAGAAACGACATCATAGCCTGGAAATTTGACAAACATAATTAGTACTACAAAGCAGCAAATATGAACATGAGTCTGAGATAAAAACTACCATAAATGTGATGGCTCTGTTTTAAAGACTTCTTCCTTTTCTAATGGGAGGGAGGGCTTAAAGTGGGAGCACTCCTTAAAATATTTTCTTCAAAAGTTTCCAAACCCCCTGGCTGCTTTGCAACCTGTAAAGAAAAGGTAAGGTGGATGTTCCTTTTTTGACCATCAGGTTCCTAAATCTATGAGTTAGTAGTAGGGATCTGGGGAGTTGTAGAGCAAAAAAACTCTAATGTTTCCAAGCTCTACTTAGTACTCAGAAAATAATTGATTGTAAGCAACAAGGCATCTCTAAGTAATCTCTTCCAAGTTCTGGGATGTGGAAGAGGCCGGGGGGGGGGGACTCAAAGAGAACTGCTCTTTAGTTTTTTATGAAGGGGCTAATCTTCCTCTGAATATTTTGGTCAACTTGGTCCCTAGGTCATAGTTTTAAATTACAGGCTCATAACTTACTTTTAAAAGGGTCAATGAGTACAGTGATTCAAAAGGGGAAAGGCAGAGGAAGAAGAGACTTCCTCAAGGAGAAGGAGTAAAGATGGGCATGGAGAAAGCATGAAGTACTAAATTGCCTCACCATTCTGCACAATACCAAACCCATGCTTTAGTTCCAGGACTTAATTTTTCTTTTTTCTTTGTAAAGAGTAGCACCCAGTATCCAAGAATATTCACTACAAGACTCATTGTTCAATGAACTTTTTTAACCTCCATACTACAGATAATTCTGCAAGGCTTGGGTTTAGAACCAGATTTTGAATAGTATCATCTGTGGAGCAGATATTACACGGATTTGTGTTGTATTTTGAAATGTATATAGTTTTAGCTATCTGCATTTAATTACCGCTAGGAAAACATATAGCACTATCATTGTTTGTGGCTCTTTATGAGCTCCATGGTGCAATATTGCAGTTAAAATGCTGTACCGCAGTCAAGCCTCTGCTCACAACCTGAGTTCAATCCTGATGGATTCTGGTAGCCAGCTCAAGGTTGACTCAGCCTTCCACCCTTCCATGAATACTCAGCTTGCTGGAGGAGCAAAGTTGTTTGTATAAAGTGGTGCCCCGCTTGACAACGATAATCCATTCCAGGAAAATCGCTGTTAAGCGAAATCGTCGTCAAGTGAAAAAAAACCCATTGGAATGGATTGAAAACCAGTCAATGCGTTCCAATGGGGAAATACCTCATCGTCCAGCAAAGATTGCCCATAGAGAACTGCCAATCACCTGTTTAAAACCGCTGTCTTCCGAAGCAGGGGTCTGGAAAGCAGCCATTTTGAGAAGGGAGGGAAGCCATTTTATGAAGGAAAGCCATTTTGCGGAGCCGAAAAAATCGGTGTTTAGCGAACAAACACTCCTAATTGACGTCAAGCGAAAAAAACCCATTGGAACCATCGTTTTGCAATTGCAACAGTGATCGCAAAAAACTCATCGTACAGTGATTTTGACGTCATATGGGGTAAGCGTCAAGCGGGGCACCACTGTAATTATGTCGTAAACTAGCCAGAGGGTACTTTAGCACTCTGGGGTGCTATATAAGCCAAAAAAACAACTTTATGCTCCTCAAAGGCCAAAATCATTTCAAAACACTCAAAATTTCAGCAGTGGGAAAGTGACAAAGAAAGAGTAGAAGGGACAGTCTGAATAAAAATGTAGTTTTGTCAATTTTATAAGCAAATGCCATGACAGACATGCAATCCTGGTAGCATTATAAACCATCCAAAGCACTGAGACAGAAGTAACAAATCACTGACTCTTAACAGGATTCATAATTATGAATCTGTCAATCACATTTGGCCTTCCTCAACATCCCAGCTTGGAAACATTACATTTTGGACTGCAGCTCCCATAATCTCCAGCTACCATGGCCTAATAACAAGTTACAAATAACACAAAGAGAAAAATCACTATATTAAGACCTGGTGAGTCTTGAGAGTGAAAGTGGCTGTTACTTGTGTACAGCTTTACGTTCTTTAAGTTTGAAGGTAAAAACCTTCAAAGAATAAACTTTGTAAACATTAAGGAAATAGATGTTCTAAAAATAGAAATACAAAATTGGTATGTTTCACAACAGCCCTTAGACAAGAATGAATGAATGAATAACTGACTGTTTAATTTGGGCCTTTCCAATGTACAATTCTTTGGCCTATGATTTCTTTTGAAAAAATTATTTAGTCTGTTCTTAAAAGACTACAGCAGCCTGTCAATCAAAGTGTAAAATCTGGCATTAACCTGAAGAAAGGAAATTTTACTAAAACTGAAAGGGCAACTTTCAAAACAGAAGAGAACAACATAAAACCATCACACAGAAATGTAAAGTGATAGTTAAAAATTCCTTTCTTCACTTTTTCCAGTGTTCTAACTGATGCTACATGTACTTTAAAAACTATCCACTCATAAGAGAAGTCTAAATTCTCTCATTGAATAAAATGGTCACATGACACTAAACTTTACCCTGCTAATCTTAGATTACAGTTCAGTCTTCCAAAAGAAGAGAAATGAAGAACCATACTTCAAGTATGTGAGTCAACTCTTTAAAAAAATAAGCAGCTGTGGTCCACTTGCCATATTTGTATGTAAAATATCAAAAGAGTTAACAGAGATGTAAAATTTCTTTGAGGAAAAAAAGGGTAAAGAAGATAGGACAGTCTAAATCACTTACCTGTTGAAGTCACAGGCGCACTTAGAATGTGATATCCATTTTGTCGCAAAGAGTTAAAACAATGAGAGTCCCCTGATAGAGCATCGCTGTTGACAGATGTGTCTATTGCTCTGTAACAGTCTCCATAATGGAAACAGTTCTGTATAGAGTGAAAGCTGCCTTGATAACCTGCAAGCAGATGTTATGTAGAAACAGTTATGCTGGAAGAATGCATTTGGCTTGTCTGCTTTAATTGTGTGCTACAACCATCAGTGCGTAAGTATTTATATTCAAAATTTAACATGATGTGTGCTGTTAAAAAGTTTCCAGCCTTGCACAGATTGTTTTCTAGGTTAGTTCCCCCGCCCCCGAGGCTTGATTCAAACTGCTTTCTGTATGTGGAAAAAGGAGGCTTGGCGCCTCCACCCACAGTGCTGGGACAAATGCTGGGGCCATTGTTGGGAGTCACCACTGCAGCTAATATGACAACAAGCAGAGCTCCAGGACTGCTTGGGGCTTATTTGGTAGCAAGTACTGCCCTGTTAATAATGGCAATCAGGCTTCCATGCCTTCCTGTAAAGCACTCACTACGTACTAGAAATCTGGCATCAACTAGATGTAAGCTCAAAACCATTTTCTCCACTTAACTGGAAGTGGATGCAGTATTACTACCACACCAGAGAACACAGAAAGAAACACTATGTAAGACTGACAGCTAGGTGTGAGTCATGACTAGATTTTGACAACAGGCATGTACTTTGAGTATCATAAAGGCTACTGTTTTTCCTGCAACAAAATGTATGTTGTTGAACCAGAATTATAAATTCTGTAAATTATGAAGGAGGTGAATTCAGACAGATTATTCTTGACCTCTCTAAATAGCCATAACTTGTGTGCATCGCAAAAATTGGTATAAAGTTTCAGAAAAATGAAATCAAGCAATTCCTATAATGAAAAAAATTACACAATACATGATTACAAATATGCCAGCACCCTCCTGAGCTTCCAGTAAGTGGAATACCCTGCCAGCCTGGTGCCAGGAGCTCACACTGCTTCTGCAAGTATTGCCGTTCTATAAGTGTAATAAGGTGGGGTTTTTTTTCCATGGAGATCTCTTTCACCATGGCAATACTTGTGCATGCAGTCCAATTCTCCTATTATGCTTGGCCAGATTTATGAAAGTTTCTATATTGGCTTAAAATGGAACATCCATGTTGAGTGATATTCCGTTTTTAAATATTAGAAGTACATAGACTGGGGAGACACAATAGCACTTTTCAGATATTTGAAAGTCAGTCAAACAAAGGAGGGGAAGGATCTGTTATCAATTCTCCCCCTTTGGTGTGGTTCTATTGCGACTAGAACCAAAGGCGCTGAAAATGATGTGGGTGCATGGAGGAGGAGGAGCCCTGTGTGGAGGGAGAGCAGAGTTGCATGCAGGCACACACCTTAGAGGGAACTTTGCTGTGGACCAAATTCATGGAATACAATCTCCAGTTTTTTCATCCAAAAGGAAGAAGAAACAGTAAAGGTGGATGATCTTATCGTCATCCCTCTCAGGGGTGCTTTAAGTGATGATTTCCCTGTTTTGGGCGGGGCTGGACTCAATAACCTCTCCACTCGCTTGCAGCCCTACTCTTTTGTGATTCTATGATGCCAAAATATTTCTATTTATGCACAAGGAGCTTGTTGTTGTTGTTCGTTTTTTAGTCGTTATCTCGTATTCGACTCTTCATGACCCCATGGACTCTCATATTCGACTCTTCACGCCAGGCCATCCTCTCTTCCACTGCCTCCCGGAGTTGGGTCAAATTCATGTTGGTAGCTTCAGTCACACTGTCCATCCATCTCATCCTCTATTCTTCCCTTCTCCTCTTGCCTTCACACTTTCCCAACATCAGGGTCTTTGCCAGGGAGTCTTCTCTTCTCATCAGATGGCCAAAGTATTGGAGCCTCAGCTTCAGGATCTGTCCTTCCAGTGAGCACTCAGGGTTGATTTCCTTTAGAAGTGATAGGTTTGTTCTCCTTTCAGTCCAGGGGAGTCTCAAGAGCCTCCTCCAGCACCACAATTCAAAGGCATCAATTCTTCAGCGGTCTGTCTTCTTTATGGTCCAGCTCTCACTTCCATACCTCACTACTGGAAAAACCATAGCTCCGACTATGCAGACCTTTGTCAGCAAGGTGATGTCTCTGCTTTTTAAGATGCTGTCTAGGTTTGTCATCGCTTTCCTCCCATGAAGCAGGCGTCTTTTAATTTTGTGCTGCTGTCACCGTCTGCAGTGATCATGGAGCCCAAGAAGGTAAAATCTGCCACTGCCTCCATATCTTCCCCTTCTGTTTGCCAGGAGGTGATGGGACCAGTGGCCATGATCTTGGTTTTTCTCATGTTGGGCTTCAAACCATTTTGGCACTCTCCTTTTTCACCCTCATTAAGAGGTTCTTTAATTCCTTCTCATTTTCTGCCATCAGAGTGGTATCATCTCCATGTCTGAGATTGGTGATATTTGTTCCAGCAATCTTAATTCCGGTTTGGGATTCATCCAGTCCTGCCTTTTGCATGATGTATTCTGCATATAAGTTAAATAAGCCAGGGGACAATACACAGCCTTGTTGTACTCCTTTCCCAATTTTGAACCAATCAGTTGTTCCATATCCACTGCTAAGCAATTTGGTCCCGAGGCTTTTGCGTAGTCAATGAAGAAGTAGATGTTTTTCTGGAAGTCTCTGGCTTTCTCCATAATCCAGCGCATGTTAGCAATTTGGTCTCGAGTTCCTCTGCCCCTTCGAAATCCAGCTTGTACTTCTGGGAGTTCTCAGTCCACATACTGCTGAAGCCTACCTTGTAGGATTTTGAGCATAACCTTGCTAGCGTTTGAAATGAGTGCAACTGTACGATAGTTGGAGCATTCTTTGGGATTGGGATGTAGACTGATCTTTTCCAATCCTCTGGCCACTGCTGAGTTTTCAAAGCTTGCTGGCATATTGAGTGTAGCACCTTAACAGTGTAATCTTTTAAGATTTTAAAGAGTTCCACTGGAATGCCATCACTTCCACTGGCCTTGTTGTGAGACAAGCTTTCTAAGGCCCACTTGACTTCACTCTCCAGGGTGTCTGGCTCAAGGTCAGCAACCACACTATCTGGCTTGTCTGGGTTATCCAAATCCTTCTGGTATAATTCCTCTGTGTATTCTTGCAACTTCTTCTTGATGTCTTCTGCTTCTGTGAGGTCTCTACAATTTTTTGTCCTTTATCATGTCCATCTTTGATTCATTCATTCATTTATTTAATTTATATGCCGCCCACACTACCCAAAGGTCTCTGGGCGGCTTACATCTTCTTCTTACATCATCTTCTTGATGTCTTCTGCTTCTGTGAGGTCCCTACCATTTTTGTCCTTTATGATGTCCATCTTTGCACAAAATGTTCCTTTAATATCTCCAATTTTTTGAACAGATCTCTGGTTTTTCCATTTCTATTATTTTCCTCTATATCTTTGCACTGTTCATGTAAGAAGGGCCTCTTGTCTCTTCTTGCTATTCTTTGGAAGTCTGCATTCCATTTTCTGTAACTTTCCCTATCTCCCTTGCATTTTGTTTCCCTTCTCTTCTCTGCTATTTATAAGCCCTTGTTGGGCAGCCACTTTGCTTTCTTGCCTTTCCTTTTCTTTAGGATGGTGTTTTTTTTTTGCTGCCTCCTGTACAATGTTACGAGCCTTCATCCATAGTTCTTCTGGCATTCTGTCCACCAAGTCTAGTTCCTTAAAACTGTTCTTCACTTCCACTGTGTATTCATAAGGGATTTGGTTTAAATTATACCTGACGAGCCAAGTGGTTTTTCCTACTTTCTTTAGTTTATGCTTGAATTTTGGTATAAGAAACTTACCATTATTTTAATCAACTACTTCCTATTTGTAGATTCAGCTTTATTCCTTGATAAGAACTGGGAGGGTGATTCTATAGCTTCTTAATTGCTCTTGGATAGTTTCTGAACTCCGTAGCTTGCTGCGGTCAGGTACAGCTATGATTTGAGAGAATTTTCTTTTTCTTCTGCCCCCTTTCCTGTTCTATAATGCCCAGGTTGATGAAAGTCTTACAGGACCCAAAAGCAAATGCCTGTTTGTGAGACTTTAGTGGTCTGATAAGTATGTTGTCTTTTGGATTGTATAACAGCTTTTTTTATCTTTTTCATTGGACTATGGAAGACATCTCAAGATTCAGTCTCCTCAAAATTTCACTGGATTCTAATCCCCTTCACCTCCAACTGAAAAAAACACATCATTTTCTTCCCCTATAGCATAAAGGCTACACACATTCTCCCCCCCTCCCATCGTTGTGACGTGCCCCAGCCGCATTCCGGCCGCAAGTGCCAGCAGTGTAACTTGAAACTGGAATTTTTTAAAAAATAAAAAGTTGCACTGGGCCGCAGGTTGGACAAGCCTGCCCTATAGCATAAAGCCTACACACATTTAACAACCACCTTTTTAGCGTGTGGAGTAATACACTTCTGCTACAGATACAATGCCAGTATCTGTAGCAGAGAAAATGTCTATAAACTGAATGCTAGGTTCTTTATGATGTGTGTCCTTTCTTTGGCATTAAGCAAGGCATGCCTGGATAGAGATTCAAAAAGCTTTTCTCAGAAGCTAGTCAACTCTTTTACTCAGAGCGTTGGAGGAAAGGGGTTTATTTAAGTGATGTTGAGGAGGATCCTCATTAACCTGCCATAAAGTCCTCTGCACACATTGCTCAAACTCCAACAAGCACTTTGTATACACTTCTAAAGGGAAAAGACCATAATATCTGCTAGTCTGCCCTGTACGGAGATCATCTGGAGATGATCCCATGATAGTTATCTTATTTCTCTCTTGAGATCCAAATTAGATGAGACACTCAGCTGAGGAGTGGAGAGCTGCTTGTGCATATTTGTCCTGTCTCCTGCCAACGAAACACATAAAGTAGATTTCTGGGAAAGGGCAGCCTACACAAGTGTGATCACACACAGAATCGCTCTACTGTCTTTCCACTCCTGTCACTGTTTTGCTTTGCAGGAACTTATCCTTCTGATATTTCACTATGGACATTCTCTCTGTCACTCCTAGACATGCTTCATGCTACTCATCCTTCCAACGTGATATCACTGTAATTGTTTAAAGGGGTAAAGGAGGGAAAAATGCTTTTGTGGGTTCTGCT